CCAGTCCCGTGATTATTACTTCCACTTTACAGATGAGGAAACCAAGTGTCTGGGCTCAGAGTGGTTTCCCCCAAAGTCTGTCCTCTCACTGAACTTTGTAGTAAGACAGATGGAATGGATGCTGTCTTCTCTCACACAGCTTTGGGGGAAACAGCAAACTATCATGATGGCAAATACAAATCACAGGAAGCCAATTTGTGATCTGGAAAGAAGCAGGGATGTAGGAGCCACCTTATCAGGCATGCTGTGCTGTAATCCCATTGCTAAGAGCTCCTTTAATCACAGGATTAGGTATTGGTGATGGGGGACACTCGCTCGAGCACCTGCTAGGTTCAGATTAGAGAAGCCTCTAGAAAAAACATCCTAGCCACGCCCACCTTGGCAGGGCTAACGGGGACATCCGTTTATGCACCCACTCCTCTCTTCGGTTCAGCTTCAGATGGTACCTTGCTCCCCTGCTCTGCCAGACGATATCCTGGGGATTCAGGAGGAGGAAGGCTACTGCAGTCCCTGCCCTCCTAGCACTGACAGAAGTGTCGTGTTGTGCACATCAGATGTGATCATAGGTGCCTGGAAGGGAGCCTTGTGAGTTATGAAGCGAGAGTCCCCGGCAAGGAGTCCCAGATGGTGTCCCCTTCTCTGAGCCTCAGCCCCCATCATCTCAGCATTCCAGCACCGTGGTCAGTCCTGCAGACTTGGCTAAACAATTCCTGGTTACGTAACCCTGGAGAAATCGCATCATCTCTGGAGCCCCGGTTTCTTCACCTATAAAAAAAACGTGAGCTAAAAAAGACCCAGGGGAGAGCGGAGGCTGGAAAGCAAACAGGGATAGTGCTGGGTAAAGCACGTGGCTCAGCACTGGGACTGGTGCAATGTGGAACGAGGGGTGGCTCCGGGCTGACCCCAACAACTCTGCTTTGAGAAAATCGCTCCTTAGCTTTGCTGATTTATACAGGTGCCGTCAAAGTCTTTTAAAAAATATGAATGAGGTACCTCACTTTCTGTATAGCTGCCTCATTTCCTCACTAGAGAAAGTTTTTGGTTTGGGTTTTTTTTTTTTTTTTTTTCCCCTTTGGTCAACTCCGAGTATGAGTCCTGTTCCTGGGACCCTCCTGGGACCTTGGCCATGTCCTTTCTCTCTGTGCCTCTGTCTTGCCATTTGCAAGGCCGAAGGGGCTTGGAGCTGGTGACCTGCAGGCCTTCCTGGCTCCAAGGATTACGGTTTTGTTCCTGTGGCCGAGGAGGTGGGGAGCTGCACTGAAGGGCAGGACAAGAGTTACGTGAAGAGTTTTCTGGGGTTCTCAGCCGAAGCAGATTAGGAATTCTGTCCCAGGCTCCGCCGCTGACTGATGACTCTTCTTTGACTGGTTCCAGGCTCTTAATGTCTGTTTGCCTCCGGGTTTCAAATAGCAGCTAATGATCCTAGCTGTCTTTCAGCCAGTTTTGTGATTTTTGCCTTTGACTTTGACTATCTTCAAAGGCACTCGGCAGACATTATTATTACATTTACAGGGCCCAGTGTGCCCAACTACTTGGCAAATTGTGTCAAAGAATCTATAACTGTTACAGAAGAATGCTTGCTCGCTGCATTCTTCTTTATTCCTCAGAAATTTGATATTCTCGTTGACCTTCCATGAAGGTAACCGTAAATGGACTTTGAACATCCTGGAATCAGAGTCATTTTTTAAAACCAGATGGAACCTTAAAAATCAGGTTGTTTTTTTTTTTCATTCAAAAATGCATTTATGCCTAGTGCAGTGGCACATGCCTGTAATAATCCCATTGGCTCAGGAGGCTGAGGCAGGAGGATCGCAATTTCAGAGGCAGCCTCAGCACAATCAAGGTGCTAAGCAACTCAATGAGATCCTGTCCCTAAATAAAATACAAAGTGGGGCTGGGGATTGGCTCAGTGGTCGAGTGCCCTTGAGTTCAATCTCTGGAACAAAAAAAAAATTAAAAATTGCATTTATAAAGTGCTCACTCTGTTCTAATCTTGTTCCTATCTAGTTTGGGAATAACACATAAAGAATAATTCTGGCCAAGTTCTTTAGTAGACTTTGTTAGTTATCTGTTGCTGTCTAAAATTATTCCTCGCTTGATGGCTTACACGATGCAAGCTTATTTTATCACGGTGTCCAGGTGTCAGGAGTCTGCTCTTGGTTTAGCTGGTTCTTGGTTCTTCTGCTGAGGGCCATGCCAGGCTGCATCCAGGTATTGGTGGAGCTGTGTCCTCATTTGAAGTCTTCACTGGGGAGGACACACTTCCAAGCTCACACAGTTGATGGTGGAGGTCATCTCTTGGGACCACGTGGCTGATGGCTAGAGATTGCTTTCCATCCCAACAAGCCATTCATGAATGTTTGCCATGTAAACTGCACAGATTAGCTGGCTTCTTTTTTTGGTGCTGGGGATTGAACCCAGGGGAGCTTAACCACTGAGCCACATTCCCAGCCCTTTTTAAAATATTTTGTCTAGAAACAGGGTCTCACTGAATTGCTCGCTAAGTTGCTGAGGCTGGCTTTAAACTCACAATCCTCCTCCCTCAGCCTCCGGGGCTGCTGGGATTATAAGCATGCACCACTGTGCCCAGCTTAGCTGACTTCTTTGCCAGGTTTCTGTTCCTGTGACTAAAAGGCTCAGAGGTCACTCTAGTTAAACTGGGCTAACTGGGCTGCACGAAATAACCACACAAGAGACATAAATACCTTTTTTGGGGGGGTTGCTGTAACGGCTCCTCTGACCTTAAGGGTCTGCAGGAAGAGAGAGAGCGAGAGCACGTGCTGACCTCTTTTATTGAGGAGAAGCTATTCAAATGAGGCAAGGGGTCAGGTTTCGGGGGCTGATTCTATCTTCATGATGTCCACTGTCAGCAGGTTGACTGACACCTGGGTAGGCCACACCCAAGGGCACAGTAAGAGAAGGGGACACACACAAGGCACTTCCATGGAAGATTCTATCCTAAACAGGGCAAGGGGTTATATTACAAAGGAACAGGTGAGCGTAGCTTCACCCATGGGGCTGTAGCAAGACACACCCATTTCTGTGACTGAGCGCCTCAGCACCCAGCTGGGGAGTGTAACTCAGTCACCCATAAGGTTGGCCTCCCACACTTCTTCAAGGTCAGAGGAGGTCTCTAGAGGGAGACTAAGATGTACCTTAAGTAACATGATGTAATCAAAGAAATGACATTCCCTCACCTTTACCATACAAAGTGACCTAAGCAATGGAGTCGCACCCTCTGCACCATATTCTATAGGTGAGAAAAAAGTTACTGAAGGAGAGGAGAATATACACAGGTGTCTGTCCCTGGCCGAATCACGGGCTGCTCCTGTTGGAAGAGACTTGGAGCTCCACCTGGCCAATGGCAGCCTTGTCCCAGGTCTATGTTGCCCTGACACAGCTTGGCAGGGGGGTGTGACAGGCTTCGGAGTCGGGCTGACCTGGGTTCACATCCTGGTTCCATAACCTGTCGCCTGTAGGATCTTCAGTGAGTGACTAATCCCTCTGGTTTCACATCTTCTTCCATTCAGTGGAGATAATAAAGGGTGCAGTAAGAACCAACGCAGTTGCCCGTGCCACCCACTCACCTGGCAGACAATGTCCATAGTAGTTTGCTAAGGCTGCCATGGTAAGACTGCAGACTCTGTGGCGGAGACAATAGATGCTTATTTTTCTCGCAGGTCTGGAGGCCAGAAGTCTGAAATCAAGGTGTGTGCAGGGCTGGTTTCTTCTTCTCTCCTCTCTCCTCTAGATGGCTGCCTTCCTCCTGTACCTTCACAGGATCTTCGAGTTCTGGGGGTGCACATGTCTGTGTCAAATTTCTTCTTCATGTTGAATTCAGGCTCACCCTAAAACTTTGACTTAATTACCTCTTTAAAGATCTTATTTCCAAATACAGTCCTATTTTGAGGTACTGGGGTTTAGGACTTCAACCTATAGATTTAATCCAATCCACTTAGTATATTCTCCACCAAAGTTACATACATACTCCTTCCTGCACCTCCGACTGCTGAAGAGCCTTATGTCCCAATTCCAGGGAGGATTTCTCAGCCTCTCCCATCCTGTCTGCTCCTTGAGAACTAGTTTGTCTCATCAATAACCTTCTAGAAGGATGTGCCTCCGTTCCTCACTCCCTAAATAACCATAACAGCAACAACAGCCCCACCGATGTTGAAATATGCCTGGCGAATCAGTTGAATAACCCTCCTTTAATGTAATCCGATGGCAGTAATTTTCTGGAACACACCATTACAAGGGAACAGTATGATCTCAGGGGCTTCGTGATGCCTAATTAAAAAGCGCTGTAGCAAGAAGGAGGTTGCAGTTACACTTCAGAATCACATCCTTCTGATTTCGGAGTTGGGAGGAAGGAGTTTTTACTGAAGTGTGAGGAGGTGGGGAAGGATGGCCCAGGGAGACAGACAGTGGGAGTCCTCACTGGTCTCCTGCAGAAGGCCTTGGGCCATTGTCTTTGCCTGTCAGAAAAAGCCAAGGTCACCCCACTGGCTGAGTGTCCTCTTTCCTTACAGGCGATGGGCCAGGAGCTTGACCATGGGCTGAGACACGGTTGGCGGAGGAATTTCAAGGGAACTGATCCATCTTCAGAATTAACCCCTTCTGCAGCGCCCTCTTGTTAAACTTCTATTAGCTGCTGCTGATAGTGGGCACACGAATAAAAATAATCGACATTTATACATATCTCTAAATTATGGGTCCTTAATTTGGGCCCTCTGTGAAGTCCCTGGAGTTAAGTACAATATTTTGTATCTGTGTGTGGATCCGTGCCTTATTTTTCTAAATTCCGTAGTCCCTGACCCCAGAAGATGAAGACCTCCATTTTCTAAATAGTACCTGCTTGGATTCGTTGAGAGCTTATTATTTGTGAGTACATTTTGTTCCTTTGTTCATTTAACACGCGTGGCCACTCTCAAGATCTCTGTATCATCCTCATTTAACAGGTAAGAAAACTGAGGCTGGGAGGCTAAGCCTTAAGAGGTGGAGCTTGGGTTCCGCCCACCCACACAATAAGCATGGGTTGAATTCTCTGCTCTAGAAAGAGAGTGGGGCGATTACAATATGAGGTGGAGCCAAGCAAATGGGCACAGAGGGCCCCTGACCCAGCCTGGGGGCTGAAGTCAGTAAAAGTCCCTGGAGGAGTTGAAGCCAGGGTGAGCCTCAGAGAAGGCAGGTCACAGAACCGAGGAGGGCACTGCAGAGGTGGAGCCTTTTCTAACACGCAGCCTCATTACTTATTTTAATTACTGGTGCATATTAGTTGTACAGATTAATGGGTTTCATTGTGGCAGTTCCAGACGTGCCTCATACACATCTTAAAGAAACGATGGGACTCTTCCCGATCAAGAAGGGGAGAAACACAAATCAGAACAAGGTCATTTCTTTTGTAAAACCCTCATCCAATCAATAAACTTCAGAGAAGATATTCAATGTCACTTGAAATCAGGGGATTGCGAGTGAAAACAGCAATGAGATACCACGTCACACATTACCAGACGGGCAAAATCAAAACGTCTGACATTACCAAGCATCAGCAAGATTGGGATGCAAGAGGAAGGTTCTCGCGGGGCTTGTGGGAGTGTAAATTGGCACGACCACAGCTGCTTGGCAATACTTAGTCGACTTGAAAACATTCCAGCCTGATACTCAGCAGCTCTATATCCTGAGATGTTTCCTGGAGGAATTCTCACACATTTGTACCAAAAGCATGTCAGTTAGTCGCTGCTGCGTAACAACCACCCCACGATGCAGCATCTTCAACAACCATCACGGCTGCAGCTCCTACCTCTGCGGGCCAACTGGTTGGTGCAGCCTGGCCCTGCCTGCCTGAGGTCTGCCAGGATTTTTCACATATCTCTGGTCAGTGAGAAGGCCAGCTGGCAATGGAATGATCTAGGAGGGCCTCGTCTGTCAGTTCACTGGTGGTTGGCTAGCATTACAGGGACAGCTGGGCCACATGTCCCTTGCCCTCCAGCATCATGTCATCATTAACTCCCTTGACTGGGGTATAGGAGAGGCCACCTTCTTATCAGGACACCTGCCATATTGGATTAGGGACTCATCCTACTTCAATACGACCTCATCTTAACTAACTACATCAACAGTGACCCTCTTTCCGAATAAGGTCACATCATGAGGCACTGGGGGTTAGTATCTTAGCGTATTTTTTTCCTTATTCAGTAGTAGGAGGCACAATTCAACCATAACAATGGTATCACACTGTTTTTTTGATTGCTGGTAGAGTGGAGCATTTTTCACGTATTCCATGAGCTGCTTTTTGGAGGAGGGTTTGTCTTTTCCTTATTTATAAGAATTTTTTATGGAATAAAACTATTTCCATTCAAACCCCAGGGTTCTTTCCTCTTTCACTCAATATCAAACGTAACAAGATCAGTCCAGACATTGAAGGGTTTGTAAATTGTCAGAACATTGTTTGTCCTGGGGGTCACCCTCTGCCCACTGGTACAGTGAGTGAATTCTCTCCTTATAGCCCCGGGTGGAGGACAATGTGATTTTTGTAGCTTCTGTAGCAGCCAAAATAGGCTATATAAAGGTACATCAAAAAAGTGACCCCAGAAATCTTAGTGGGTCACAAAGTTTTATTTCTTACAAATACCACGCGCATTACCAGATGTGGCCCCTTCGTCTTGAGTCAGAACCGTAAACCAAAATAAACTTACCCAGCCTGTGGTGTTGTGTTGATGGCCACAGACTAAGAAGCCAGGCAGAGTACTACATGGTCATACTTCCAGGGATTCAGGCGGCTGTGAAAGAAGGATCATAAATTAGAGACCGGCTGGACATCTTAGCAGCCCCTATCTCAAAATAAAAAGGGCTGGGAATGCAGTTCAGTGGTAGAGAGCTTGCCTGGCATGCACAAGGCCCTGGGTTCCATCCCTAATACTGAAAAAAGAAAAAAGAAGAAGGACAATGAATGGACACAGTCACCCGGGGTAGCTGTTCCCATGCACCTGTATCAGCAGCCCTGAATCAGTGTCAATTCCTCCCAGATCCTGACCTTCACTGGAAAGCCCATCTGAGTTTCCCACATTGGTGAGAATTCTCTCTTTCTCCCTTTTCCTGCCTGGTCTTAGGATCTAGGGAGAAGTTGGGAGGACCACCTGAGAGTCACCACCAGTTGCTATCTTCTTGCAGTTTCTTGCCTCGAAGTCCCTGGTGCTAACTTGCCTGACTCCCGGTGGGTAGCCTCATGCCAAGGCCTTTCTGTATGGCTCCAGAGAGGTGTGGTACTATAAATGACCACAAACTGGGTGACCTTCTGCAGCAATGTATTCCTCTCACGATTCTGAAGGCTGAAGCCCCAAACCACAGTGTCAGTAGGGGCATGATCCCTCTGAAAGCCCTGGGGGCAGAATCTGTCCTTGCCTGTCCCTCGCTGCTGGTATCCTGGCAACCCTGGCTTGCAGATGCACACCCCAGTGCTGCGGGAGCTTTCGCAGGGCCTCTTCCCTGTGTCTCCACACCCTGCATCTCCATGTGTGTCCTCTTCTCTTCTTAAAAGGACACCAGTGATTAGATGGAGGGCCTGCCCTAAATGCAGGATAATTTCATCTCTAGATCTTTAATTAATTACATTTGCAAAGACCCCATTTCGAAAAATGGTCATCTTCTGGACATAGGTTGGGGGGAGGCATCATTCAACCCATTATATATGGGGAGGAGTCTCCGCAACTTACAGTAAAAAATCCACTAGTTGGCTCCTTGGTTCTTTCACACTAATGTCCCTGAGCACCCTGTCCTCCTGTCCTAAATCTATGCCAGGGTGTTGCAGTGACAAGAGGCAGAGTCCCCCTGAGGCTGGGATTGCATTAAACCTCGAATGCAAATACTGTAAGATAAGTTAATTAAGAGCAAATCTCTTTGCCTTTACAGATTGCAAATCCATGGATGTCTGCAGCAATCGACTCTTCAAAGCCAATTATTTTTTAAAGTGCTTTTAATTGCCATGTGCTGTGGGTGCACCCCTTCAGCCCCAAGCAGCAGCAACCTTGGGCAGCTGAACAGCCAGGCAGTGGACGCCAGGCATTAGGGTCCCAGGGCGCACTTCTCCCTGCCTCGGGGCTGTGCCCACAGAGTGATCTGCAGACAGAGGGCCCAGAACCATGTGTTCCTTCCAATCTGTAAGTTCTTGGTGGGGGCAGGGAGGCAGAGACCACATCTTATTCTTTTTTATACACATGGAAGTTTCCAGAACACAGCAGTTATCCAGTCACCTTCAGTGGGTTTACCGTAACTTTATGGACGGGTACGTGGTTTCCTACTGAAAGGCTTCCAGGAGAAACCCATGGAGATAAAAAGGAAACAGACGGGAAAAGAGAGGGAAAAGCAGTAAGCAAGGTTGGGGCTAGGGGACAAGGGACGTGCCCACAGTGTCGATGTAAGGGACCAGGGGGCGAACCTTATTAAATATGCCCCGGGGGGCTCACCCCCACATCCCAACACCAGCCCTCTGGAAAGGATGTGGAGTCAGACACAGCCCTGCAGAGCAGCTCCAGCCTGGTCCTGGGGGCCCGGAGTGTAAGTTACATCTAGCGCTTTCCTGAGTTGAAGTTGGGGGGTCTGTGTTCCTCAGACGGGGCGGATGTGAACAGTCCTCTCGAAAAGAACCCCAGGTGCTGGCTGTTGGAAGGAAAGCACCCTGAAGAAGAGGGTTGTGGGGGACAGAACCAGTAAGAAGAGATCTGGACGGAACATTCATGATGTGCCCCGCAGATGTTTGTTGAGTGAATGAGTGAACTGAAGGCAGGAAGAAATGTACAAAGTCAATTAATGAAGGAACGAATGAAGGAATGCAGGGCACAGCTGAGAAGGCTCACCCTTCAGCCAGCCCCAGCCCACCTGGCTCAGCCAGTGGCCCGCACAGAGCTGATGCTAATTAAATGCAAGGTGTCGGGATGGGGATGTAGCTATCCTTGTAGCAAAGTCCCGCTCTAGAAAAATCTCATAACAGACGGATGCCCAGAATGCCACCAACAGGATCCAAACATGGTAGACACCGCAGGAAAGAGAGCAGAGCAGAGTGTTTTTCTGCTCCCGGGGAGAAGTTCCTCAGAGAGAGGAAGGATGGAAGATTGAAGTCACTGAACAGTTAGCACCTTGGCCAGGGGCTCTGGTTCTCCCTTCAACCACCCGTTAGCTGGAGCTTCGGAAAGCAGCCCTGCATCCTACGGCACCATTTACATCCGACACGTCTCCCTACTGACTCTCATTATGCTTCCAAATATTTATTCATTTGATGGTTCAGAATTATCTATTAATCCATTCAACACTTACCGAGCATCTACTTTGGGACAAACTTTGTGCTGAACGCTGATTCTGTTCCCGAGCTGTTTGATAGATCACCTGTACCTAAGTGACTTACAGTGCCCAGCACAGAAAAATCTCCAAAGAAATGCTTGTTGGGTGGACAAATGGATAAACAGATCCACAGAGGGATTAATGGTTGGGTAGCTGGGTAGATAAAAGGATGGATGGGCCAGAGGGTGAGCGGAAGGAGGGAGTGCTGGAATTTGTTGGTCATGTTTCTTTGGTATCCTTTGCCTCATGTTGTGCAAATAAAATCCCATTTTCCTAAGGGATGCACATTTCCTGATGTGACTCAATGGTGCTGAACTTGTCTTACATCCTGCCCAGGTCATGTGTCCCAGGCCCAGCCAATTAGACTATTCCAAACTTTTGGCCACAGAAATCGGTGTCAGTCAAGGACACATGACCCAATCCAGAGCAGAGTCCTCCCCGGGAATCTCTGGCTGGTGCCAACAGTGCACGGGCTCTCTTCCCAGGAGTTTACCAGAGGTTACTGGATGCTCTATCTCGTGCCACTGGAGAAAAGGAAAAAAAGGAAAGGAAGAGGAAGAGGAGGAGAAAGGGGTCAGGAGACAGAGGAGCCACACTCAGGGCCATAAGTCAGCCTCCAACGTGGGGAGCCCATTGAACTCTTGGGCTTTCCAGCTACATTTGCCAGTGAATTCCCTTTCTGCAACTTATTCCCTTTCTCCTGTGGTTGGTTGGTTTGGTTTGCTTATTCATTTATTTTTCTTTCTCATAACCAAGAGGATTTTGTAGTGCAGACTGCAGAGTGGATAAATGAGGGAACGCCTGAGTGAAGGAATGAGTGAGCCCCGTTAATCTCACAGTGGTTAATGTTTTTTGTTTTTCCTCCCTTGGGAGCTGAACCTGCAAATACAAGTTTTTAATGAGATATTCCTGGTTTCTGCTGGGGCCGATCTCATGGCTTCTATTTTGACTCTTGTTCTTGAAATGAAAAATGAGAAGCAAAAAGGAGAAAACAGCCTGCTAAAAATAACAAATTTCTGGGGCAGATGCTTAACTCTGGCCGTGGATTCCAGACCGTAGTAGTTCTCATCCAAAGAGGACTGAAATGAAACAAATAAAATTCAGCATTCCTCCAAAGTCCTCTAAAGTCCTCCTATTCACCCCCATTCAAGCCAAGTAGGAGTGGGTGGGCTGCACATCTGACCACACATACGTAGCTCCTTCCCCATTTTCTAGAATTTTCTCTCCATCAGGACGTGTCAAGTGCTTCTTAATGACTGACAACAAGCACAGCCTGGGGGAAGGGTCATGAGGGTCTTTCTAGATGATGCCAAGCTGCATCCTACAGACTAGAAAGGATCCAGGTGCCAAAAGGTAGGAAGGGCCTTCTGGATATGGAGCTAGCACAAGTCAAATCCTCAAGGTCAGTTTTGGGTGAGCACAGGAAAGGGAAAATGGCCAGAGACAAGGCTGAAGAAGTTGCAGAGGCCACTTTCAAAATTCCCTGTAAGTCCAGAATGTGTGTGTGTTTCTTTAATTGTCTAACTGTGATTTCCAGAATTTGATGTTTCTCTCCTTATCCTCTCATGGAATCTCTGAGCTCTCCTGGGTGCTCGGAAACAACATGCATCACAGGACCCACTGCAGATCCGTTTAGGAGAGAATCTGTTGGAGGGCTCCCAGTTCTGAACGGATGTCAGGCGCCCCAGGAGAGAGACTGAGGCTGCTGAAGTTTGTGAGTTGCTCCTGTATTTGGTGGGAGAGTCTATCAGCCAAGGCTGAGTCTGACTTCTGCGACAGAAACCAAGATGCATGCAATTATTTCATCAAGCAGGGATTGCATTTCCTTGCATAACAAGAAATCTGGTGCTAGACTGTCCTGGGTTACCGCAGCTGCCCTAGGATGTCACCCAGGAAACAGCTTCCTCCTAGCTTCCAGCCACACCATCCTCTGGGGGTCGAGATGAGGACTCCTCCTGCAGGCATCAAGCTGTATGTCAGACAGAAAGACGGAGGGAAGAGCAAAGGGTGCCCTGTACCCATTGATTCTACCCCTGATTGTCAGGAAAACTATTGGTCCCAAAAAAACCCCAATCTCACCCTTCCATCTCGCTGACCAGAACCTGGTCACCAAGTTGTAAAGCAAAGTTATAGCGGAGCAAAATTAGGAATCTATTAGAAAAGAGGAGGGGAGACTGGATGTAAAGTGAACAGGGAGGAGGCTCTCTAGGGATTTTGGTCATTATCACTGTAGAGCAGAGGACTGACAATGGGTGAAGCCTGCTGCAGCCCATCATGGGAAAGATGACAGTGACCTGCACAGGGCAGTGGCTGGTGGACAGATCCTGGTGAAATTGATGGATTGTGTGGGATCTGCTGGGGCAATGGTCAAGTTGGGGGACAAGGCAAGGCAAAGGAAAGGAGGGAAGGGGGACATTAGGATGTAGTCAGGTTCTAGCTTCGATCCCGGGAAGATGGGGCCATTCCTGAGTGTGTTTGCAGCCACAGAGAAAGCAGGAGTTGGGACAGCCGTGTGGTCCAGAAATAGGAAATGTCGGGTGCAAGTCCAAACTGCAAGGGTGGGTATGAGTGTTAAAGAGCATAGGCAGAGAAGAACAGTGGTCCCCAGAGCTGTGCGTCCCCCACTCTAAGGCTGCTCAGGTCTCTTGATGGAAGTAGTACACTTCAAACTTCCTTAAAATAGCTGGGTGCAGTGGCGCACGCCAGTAATTCCAGCAATTCAGGAGGCTGAGGCAGGAGGATCGCAAGTTCAAAACCAGCCTCAGCAAAAGTGAGGTGCTAAGCGACTCAATGAGTCACTGTCTCTAAAATTAAATACAAAATAGGACTGGGGATGTGGCTCAGTGGTTGAATGTCCCTGGGGTCAATCCCTGGTACCAAAAAAAAAAAAAAAAATCCTCAAAATTTTTGTACTGCAGGAAGAAGCATCAAAATGTCTCAGATTTCAAAGCTTCAGCTATCTTTGTCCCATAGAGCCACTAAGCGGTTACCACCACTCCCCTCCTTGAAAGATCGCCTGAGATCTGATCTCCTTGGAGTGAAAACAGGAGCTAAATCTGACTAGAGGCTGACTTGAGCAAGGTCCCGAGTACTTACTTCATCTGGTGTATCAGATGCAACGTTCATAACTCTTTGTGGTCCAGATGTGTGTCGGACTGTCCTCCTGGAGGCTGGGGAAAGGCAGAAGTTCCAGGCAGGCCAGATGTGCAAATCGTACATCTCTCTCTTACAGATGAGGAAACGGAGGCTCAGGAAATAGGATGAACCTTCCCAAGACACACAGTCAGTCAAGGTCAAAAGCAGCTAGGCCAACCCAGGTCTGATCCCTCAGTTTTCCATCTTCACCCCTCTGCCATATCCCTTCCTAACCCGTTTTCTGCTCAGGGTAGAAAATGCGTAGCTTGTATCTCCCACTGAACTGCACCTTTCTGAGAGTAGGAGGTGACTCTAGGCCTCGCTCTAGTAACCACTGAATAAAAGAATCACCGCAGGCCCCAATGACAGCCCCCGGCTTGGAAGTGCAGACCCTTCCTCCCTTCCCTGGATTCTTTCACGTTCCAACCCTAACACCTGCTCGGAACCTGACGCAGTCCTGTTGGGTGGGTGAATACTTGTGAGAGTTCTGCTTGCGATTATCTGGACTTCAGAGACGAGAAAGAGCAAATGCTACTTTGTTCATGAACTGCAAATACCACATGAGAAGCCTGCGTGCCCACGGTCGACCGCTGAACTGAGCATTGGATTTTAGTTCTTCATGACAGCGAAACTCCTTTTCTTTTTTAGTTGATCATGGACACAATACCTTTGTTTTACGTATTTGTTTTATGCAGTACTGAGGATCCAGTGCCTCACTTGTGCAAGGCAAGCACTCTGCCACTGAGCCCCAACCCCAGCCCCACGAAACTCCTTTTCTTAAACAAGAAAAAGCAGTTGAATAAATACGAGTGGGTTTCTCCTTCTAAGGAGGGTGTTGGGGACATGAATCAGCCCCTGAGGCACCACTTGGGTGGAGAGGGACCTGGGGGAAACAGACCCTGTTGACTGACACAGGGAGAGGAAGTTCTCACAAGAAACCTGCAGGGGGCGCTGTGTCTGAGCTGCTGTGGAGCACACCTATCAGGTGACACATGGTGCCTGCCTGGAACTTCTGCCTTTCCTCAGCCTCCAGGAGGGCAGTCCGACACACGTCTGGACCACAAAGAGTTATGAATATTGCATCTGATACCAACCACGCCGTCACTGAAGGAAGGTGCCTAAAGGTAGGAGTAAGAAATTAAGGGGACTCGGTGGGGGGCACTATTTCTTTCTTTCCAATTGCAGATCCCCAATAGATTTCTTTCCTTGTTAAGGGCTGAGTTCTCTATCCCATTTGGTTCCTGGGAAGGATTGGGATATGCTCTTTCTTTCCTGCCCTGAATTCCTCCAGCTAACCCAGAGCCCAACCTCCAGGCTCATATGAATCAGCCTCTGGTTTGCTCTTCAGAATACCCTTGTTACATTAATTTAGGGAGCATAATAAATCTGGAGTGAAATATGTTTGCCTCGGATGCTAATTTGCTCGATGAGAATATCAATTAGATCTGCGAGGCATAGAAATTAGGGCTATTAAAGATCTCAAAGGTCATCCTCAGCCTGTTCTAAAGTAAGATGACAAGTCATCATCTGCCAGAGGGGTGGGGGATAGACTGAGGAGGTGATGGACAAACACCAATCAAATGTCAGGTACCAGGCTGGGGACCAAATATTCTGGAGTCTCAGGAACCCACCTTCGGACCCTAAGTCATCTCTGACTGTGACAGCCACAGTGGAAGCTATGTACTGAACACTTATCATGGATTCGATGCTAGATGAACAGTTTCACTAGTGCTAACTTATTTAACCCTTGCAACAGCTCTGTGTGATACTAGGTACTATTATTATTCCCATTTTTACAGATGAGGAAACTGAGTCATAGAGGATTTCAGTAAGGTTCCTGGGTTCTACTTCTGGCTAAAGTGAAGCAACAGCAATGGTATTTAATTTTCCTTCTCAAAAAAAAAAAAATGAAAGAAAAAAGAAAAGAAAAGCCAAATAACAGCCTTCGAGACCTTGGGCAAAGGTCAATGGAAGTCAGAGATCTCTGAGACAGGAACATTGAAGAGATCTGGAGCTTGCCTGGCTACTGCCGGGGAGAGGGTCCAGTCCATGCTGCAGGTTGAGGGGTCCCGGGAGAGCCCAGTATACTCCGTGAGTCCAAGATACAGAAGCTTGAGTCCCAGGAAGTCGAGGTGGCAAGAGTTGG